AAGAAGAATAGTGATAAATCGAGCGTGTAGAGACGGATGGCTGCAGTAAACAGAATTATAGTTTGATGAGGCTAAAATCCATACTATATTATTGACTCGTGTTGATGTACTCATAGACACTGATCTCATTGCAGGGCAGCTCGGATATTGATTGTCTGACTGGAAATCCCATTACACACACGCTCATTCAGCGCCATTTGGACTGCTCAAGGTACAATGGATTCCCCTGCTCATCAGATAGCAGCACACTGCCTCACTGTGCATCCGGTCTGAGTGGCAGTGCAGAGGTTTTGAGAGGCCTCTGCAGGATGTTCTCACCATATCCCTTTAGTAGTTAACAATGCTTGTAAAAGTAATTGGGAATTGGGACGTATTCCCTCAATATTAGTTCATTCAGTTCCAGCGCTGTAGCAATGAAATTTGGAAGTGAATCGGTTTGGGTGAGACTTTGAGGAGTATGTGTAATATCTAGTGTGGTGCAGATAGCCCAAGGCAACTGCTGGAGATCCAGGAGTAGCTTAGGGGTTTGACTTGTAGTACTGGTTGTTGTTAAAGGCCAAGAAAAAGAAAAAGAAAATAGTTAAAGGCGGTTAGAGTGAGGGGAGGGTAAGTGTAAGGCAAGAGTAAAGCAGAGCGAGTGAGAAAGTTAAACAAAAAAAGGAGTGATGGTCAAAGAGACCATGGGACCTTAGAGGCAGTGTAAACAAATAAACACATAATCTCTCTTTTCAGGCTCACTCCTCACTCTCCCTCGCACAGACACTGTCAGAAATACCGATCAAATTCTCCATTTCTCTGTTTGCCCTCTAGAGAGGGTCTTTGAACAGAGCAGATTCATCTTGTACGTTCTGACCTCCAGCTTCCTCGCTCACGTCTCCATGGAGCTCACACTAGCCACTTCTTCATGCACACACACACACACACACACGCACTCACACACTACTCAGCTGATGGGAAGCAGCAGAAAGCAAGTGTAAACACATAAAGGCATAAACTCCACCACCAAGCACCAACAGACCCTCTTGTATTTGCAGTTTCTATGCTTCAGTCTATAGGCTGAATTCCTCCCCTCATATAGTGCACACTAATGCAGGATATTGATCCATTCAGTACAGTACAGTACAGTCAACCTCACAGCAGCTGGAGATCAGATTTCTTTGTGTGCCTCTATTCACATCATCCTGCCTTTTTTTGCTGCGTATTTTTTTCACCCAACTGAGAAAAGACAGTCTTAATGGAGTCCATGTGAAGTCTGTTGCTTGTTTGCACATCCACATGCCTGCGGTATTGTATGTGCATATGGTAAATGGTAAATGGACCTGTACCTGTATAGCGTCTTTCTAGTCTTCCGAC